CCCCCCCCAAAAAAACCCTGTCTTATGATCAGCTTTACAGTTTGTTCCTTACCGCGGCAGCTAGACATCTGGACCCTATTCCGAGTGCTGACCAGTGGATGAAGGCGTTAGGTGCAGGGATCGACGCTGTACGCAGGTACATGTATTACCACTGTCCTACAACAGCTCAACAGCTCAAATCTTAACCAAGTCAACGATCTCGCCCAAGAGGTTCCTCAATTTGTCGACATTAGCATTTTGAGACGTTTAGAGTAGGGTGTATCTTGTGTCACTTTATACTGATTTTGGAAATGGCCGGTGCATCGTTTGTTCCTCCAATTACCTGCGGGTTCAAGGTCCAATGGGCACACAAGCGCGAGTCGTGTACTCACGACCAGGCACTGTTTTCCAAGTGCACAAATTACTGCCCGAGAGCAAGGCCAAATTGGAATACGGCATCGTCAGGGCGAGTACCAGCATATGATAATTTTAGAATCTTCTCAAGGTTCGTCAGTCCCCATTCATAATGCATCACAATGCCATTGTGTTACTTATTCAAATCTGAGCTAGGTTTCGCGCTAAGGACGGCCCGTGTGTAAAATAGAATGAAATGACAGCACAGTTACTCTTCATTCATAATAAAGCTGGTTCGGTTTAGGTCTGTAGATGATTTCTAAAAACAAGCAATATTTGCATAACAAAGACTCATTTGCATTAACAGGTATGGAGGAGCTAAGCCAGGAGACAGAACAATGGTAAATTTCTTAACGACTTGTATGATTTTCTTTACCGTTTTCATGATTATTTCGGAATTGTGAATGGGGTCTCAACTCAAAATATTCAAAGTTTGTCTAACAATTTGTTAGACCTATTAAAGATCGCGCGACGCTCGCTTTTTAAACCTTTTCCTGCACTGCACCTTCGGAGGAATTCTCCCCCTGCAGGGCCTCCAAAATGTGCGAAGTCAGTGCACCCATACATGCATAGCCGCGCCTCCACCCACTCACTTCCCTGGCTTTATAACCAGATTGCGTGTCTGCTCATCCGTGCATGTGGCCAGGCTGTGCGTCGCGTGACACGCTTCCTCGGCTTGGTCGCGTCTCCTTTCCTGCTTAATTTACCGCCGTTCGTCCGATTGGTTTGTAATGCACCCGCACACGGGGCGATGTCAGAACCTCCACCCCGTCAATCCATCACGCGGATGACGGTCATCCCGGCCAGCTTCATTAATGCATCGATTTACAGAAGAGCATCCAACAGAGCAACTGGGGAGGGATCGACGTCACTTCGGCATCCGATTACTGGATGTCCTCGCTGCTTCACTTTTTACGCGTTATTGCTAAGTGGGTTGGTGCCTGTTGAGTGAATTTATAACAGGCAGGTAGCTCGTTAATGATATAAATCAGTGTTCTTGGCGTTCATCCGGAAATTAAGTGCCGTTATTTCAGAAAAAATGTTCAAAAGCGTGGGTCTGCTTCATCCTGTGCCACGGGCAGTGGGAAGTTAACTTTTCAAAATAGTGAACATAATGTCATCATTTTTTTTTACAGCACGAAGGCCTTGTTGCTATTTTTTTTAATGCACAGTTGGCAATTATCATGCTGTGTTGCATAAACTGCGCGTTGGCGGTGTATTATTTTGGATTGTTGGGCTATCACAAATGCATGCAAATCGGAAAGAGTCTAGTTGACATTAGGTTATGTATTTTCCATGACTCTAATGGGCTGTTTGAAATGACCGGTACTGACTAGGCGGTAAGATCATGTGCCGAAACGTGACCGCGTTGGAGCATGGCTCATGGGTTGTTGTGTATAAGCACATTTTGTGAGGAGGAAGAAAGGCCCGATGAAATGTACATCATTATGTTTGAAGAGAAATAGGAATTTCTTTTAATAATCTGAATTGAAATGTGTTATACGAAAGTATATTTTAAAGACTGTGCATTCACGTTAAAGGTAAGAAAAGGACTAGAAAAGGGCATTTTAAACGATGGAATATAAACGGTGGAACTGAAGATGGGGTATCCACCATTCAACGATCCAATTATTCAACCAAATACAGGCTGTACACGGTATCAGACAAGCAAACGTATGGCAGTCAGGGGATATTTTCTTGCTGCGCTTCAAAAATCGCTTTACATTTGGCACAGTAACCGAAGACTTGAGATAGTGACGTCCCAACCATCCTTACAGAATGTAGACATTTCATAACCGATTTCAGCTTGTTACCTTAGAGCCCAGTGAAGGGCAATCAACAGGGACTCGCGTGACACCATTCGCTTTCATTCTTAATTTATATTTATGTTATTCTTGTCCAGTTTTGGGAGCAATGTTTTTCTTTCTCTGTGAAAGTTCTTTGGGCAAATAGCCTAAAACCCTTTGGACGTCATACATATAAATCAAATCCAGATTCGAATGCCGATTGATATAACAACTGCCGTTTACTCGTTCGAAAACATTTTAGTCTGGACGCACTTGCTGAGGGTGTAGGTGAAGGATCCGTACCCAGTCTGGTGGGACAGCCACGTGCACGTCTGAACTGTGTAGTTAGTAAGATCAAAGATTGTCGACAGTCTCTAGTTTCTGGGTCCCAGACTAGTCTTCCATTGCCACAAGAGTTTGCTTTGGACAACATTTGATGGTTAAGAAGATCTTATCGTGACTACATCTATTATGTTGAGAAATCAACGTAAATGACTCCAAGGATGCATTGTCATGCCTTTTGAACGTATAAAGTTTAAGTGCCTCAACCCTATTGGTTTTTCCGTGACAGCAGTAAGGTCTTGAAATTGCCGTATTCGATAATCAAATTTATTTCATCCAGTATTTTTTTCATTAAATTAATTAGCGGAGGTCGCTACACAGCGGTGTTTAAAGAGTCTGTAGTTATAGATGGCAAGGTGATTTGTTTCAGTGGGGCTGGATATTGTGAATTGGATGAGATCATTCATCTTCGCTGGCGAATATTTTCCATGGCACCGTGCCAACGATCCGGCACAACCTCAGCTCGAGGCCATGATGGTGGCGTGCGGTGTGGTAATTGTCGGGTTTCCTCCGCGTCCCCAAAGCGACCCTAGGGCGGGAGTCAATATATGTTGGTTGAAATGGCTATGGCTTCCAAATCTTACATGAAATAAATCCCAAAGGGGAGATGGAAATCGAAGTCTTTTTGACGAAATGCAATTGTCTCCTGAAAACGTCTTGTGATCAATTTCGTGTCTGTTGGACTTACGAACCTCAGCGTGTAGCAGCCGTCCCGTGTACAGTGTTATAGCAGACCCCGCTACCGTATCTGTTTGAGCGTATACGGGTTGTGGTACATGTACTCCTAGTGTAAACTGTCTTCCATAGAGCAATGCTGAAATTTCTCACGTTATCTCCAGAATTCAGTTTCGTACCGAAAGGCGCCCAACCTCTTTGCATTAAAAAGAATGACAAATTTAAAGAGGGTAACTTCATCAGTAGATCGCCAACGAAGTATATTGCATGCCGCTTATGAAAAGGTATACGTTTATCCGTGCCATTAAGAAATTATTGGGATATAATTTCTCCACCCCTCATAAATAAGAAATAACAAACTCCCAGTATCTGTGTATCATGTTTCCCACATATTGACATTAATTCTCGCCGGACATAAACACCATGCATAAAACCACCTTCACGATTGACGTGGGTGTCCATGCCCACTTTGTTAAGAGGTAGATGTGATATCAGCTGGCACCATGGCAATGTCTAACTTTCTGCGAATCTGATTGGACGAGGACCAACATGCTATATGCAGTAGATATCATTCTTGAATATAATGTGAAGATTATCATCTATCTGCCAGCATGCACTGAGTGCAGGCGAAGAGTGGCTTCAGAAAAACGTCTTTTTTTATTCCAAGTTTTAGCAAGACCAGACAATGCAAGAAAGGCAAGACAATACATTCTTGAAACAGTTTGCGTAGATTTTTTTTCAACATGAGCGTACACCTTTTTGATGTTTGTACGCATCATTAATGATTTGGTGGTGAAAAATTACGACTTGACAAAGTCATCATTACACAAAACAAGACACGAAAGCAAAACCTGTTTCTTCCCCTGACGGATCTAATCCTTTTAGTGTTTGAATTACCTGAGCGGAATTTGACAGACGTAGATGTACGTGTCTTCGTTGATTAAGAAAGATTGAGAGAGAAAAAAACTCCCCAACTTATCTTGCTTACAGCTCGACCCACTCCACGCCGCGTGGATCACATTGAAGCAGGCACAAGAGTTTGGAGCGAAACCACTAGGGAGAACACACTTCCAACATGCTTTGAAGGTAGGATTTACGTTGCAACCCCCGACCGAACACCTCCAGGGATCTCGGTAACCTTGATACACGGTTGTACTTTTAACTAATGATGTTTCCATTCCGTTGATGTTTTCTAATCAAGACAGTGGGCGTATGGTAATATTATGTTCCTGTTTATTATTCTTTGACGCATAGTCCTACTGATCTGCCCTCACTGGAAAGACGTAATGTTTAATCATTGTGGTTATTGATGGAACTTGCAATATTCCACGTTATAATGAAATGTCACTAGCTCCGTTATTATCCAAAGCCGCTTTCATCAAAACAAATTTCAAGGCTTTTTTTTTAAACGTTTGTATGTTGGAGCGTATCCTCATATTGGCAGCCTGTCATCCTTGCGAAAGTATGGGCCTCGAGCTCGACCAAGAGAGGGCGCTATTTTCTTAGCAACGGAGGCTCCTTTGGTCGGAGCTGAACTTCGTTGGTTCACAGTTGACTAGGAAATGCATGAGTTACGGTCGCATCGCTGCCAACAAAATAAAGTATGGGCCATTCCATGTCAGACACACTTTTTGACCTTATAGGTCTTCAGATGTTGATAGAAATTGCTGTGCTTGTAGACACCAAGGAATAATAAGTACAAGCCAGTTTTTAGAGGAATCTGCCTTGCCGTGTGGTTGGGGCAGAGGTCAACAAAAGTGAACAGTTTTCACTTAAAAGTCCAACCTCTTCGTAAAAATGAAACATAACCCTCTAATTTTTCATCGAATGTATGTAAACTTTGTTTTACAATAATCAGCAGAATATGCTTTTTCAATGAAGTGAAGATTTGGCTCTCTGAACAAGGGCCAGGATGACCTTTGACATGCATCTGTGACCTTTGACCCCGTATTGAAAACAAAGTATCCCTTTGAAAAATATTTAGCCACATGTTTTTGAAAGTATTGTTCTTGCTCTTGAAGAATCCACCTAAATCGTTGTGGGCTTTTTAAAATCAAAAACGTTACGTTCATTTTTGTACAGTTGGTCAGCTTGGAATATGTCAATGTTACATGTGGTCATAATATAGGAAGTTTTACCCAAGCAATTTATGCTCTAAAATGAAATTAATGAAGTTCCAAACAGTTTTCAGAGCCAGAGCAATTTCAAACAAAATTATCGTTTCATTATAGGAGCCCGTTTTAGGAACATGTTTGGAGCATTTTGGAACATTTTCACTAGGAGCCCGTTTTAGGCCCTAATTGAGTTTGAATATACGAGGACTATGAAGCTGTTGTGTTGGGTAAAACGTAACACTTGAGGGTGCTGAACGACATGAACGTACTACACTACCGTACTTGCCCTTGCACTTATTCAAAACACAAGCCAAATCACTTAAAATACTTCAAAGGGGATGCCCACATCAAATTCCTTTGAAACCCATTTGAAATCCATCAGAGTTTCTGCATTACCCAACACAACAAATTCCTTTAAATGCTACTCTCTGAGTGAAAGAAACTTTATTAAGAGCATAAATTGATTGGGTACAACTTCCTGTATTGGGACCACATACAAAATCGACGTATTCTAAGCTGGCCAACTGTAGCAAAGTGGCCATAACGTTTTGGATTTTAAAATGCCCAGGGAAAAATAAAGGTACATTCTTCAAGAACACGAAACATACTTTCAAAAACGTTTGGTTTAATTTTTTTCAGAATGGTACTTTATATTTAAAATGGGGTCAAAGGTCACAGATCCATGTCAAAGGTCATCCTGACCCTTGGTTCACAAATCCAAATCTTCACAACATCATTGACAGGTGATTATTGAAGATTGGTTATTTTGGTACCAAATTTGCATCGGGCCTATATTTGATGAAAAATGAGAGGATTGTGTGTCATTTTTACTAAAAGGGTGGATTTTTGATGAAAACTGTCCATTTTTAAAATCTCTGCCCGGACTACATATTGAAAGGCGGATTCCGCTAAAAATTGGCATGTATTTACCATTCTTTGATACCTACGAATACAGCAATTTTTATTAACATCTGAAGACCTAAGGTCGACAGATGTGTTCGTCTGACATGGAATGAGCAATATGGCTCTTTTCAATTGATGAGCGGATGCTTCTGCTCGAGGCGGATATCGCTAGGCCTACACGAATGAGCAAAATTGCTGACTGCTAATGTATTTTTTTCAATGTGAGGATCCTTTTCAAGACTTGTACAATCCACAAATCCATCCCGAGTTTCGTCCCGACGCGAGAGTACATTCATTTATGAATGATTCGCCGCTGACGTCATTGTTAGCGATATATTTTGAATCTTGACGGTGATCAAAGCATTTTCATTCCGTGGAGCACAATGCATGTCATTGAATTCGTACTGAAATAGGAAGACCATCTTTGAAAAATATAATTAATTTTCTTGAAACAATATTGATGTGATTAAAAAAAAAGTATCGTGAAAAAAAAATTCATGACGTGAATGAAATGAACATTGACGGTTATGCGTTATGTGTTTCCAGCGACCTTTCTTTTTTGTTTTTGTTTTTGCTACGTTTACCTCCGTGCTTTTGTAAGGTCATGTTCAGTGCCTTCGATTCAAGGCCCAGGCTTCGCCTGTTTTCTTGACATTTTGTCGACCTTCGATCCCGAGTGGCCGTCCAATTTCTCCACCGATCTGCACCAGAACAATCCACCTCGATGTCAAATGAAAACAAGAAGGAAAAGGAAGATTGCTTTCAGCTGGTTTTAGTAAATGGCAAAGCCGGCCACGACATCCAAGCCCATGTGGCCCTGTCCGTAAATGAGTCGGGAAGCAAAATCCAACAGGGGCAAATGTGTCAAGCATCTTGGTCGCGGAGGAATGCTTTGCGCCGAAACCGCCCTGAACCCTAATTCGATTTCATATAGAGGGAAGACGGACGCCACACGCGTGCTCATGTTTTCATTCCATGTCGCCATGGAAACGACATTGGACTCGATTTGTTTTATATTTTCTGCAGGCGGAGACGGGAACTTTGAGATTTTTTTGTGTGGACATTTGAAGAGCACCAGCATGGAGCAGAAGGGAACACACAAAGAGAGACAATGGATATACAGCACAATATTGGAGATAATTGGCATTGAACCAAAAAGATTGCCTGGACAAAAATTACTCATATGTTTATACCGTGTAGGGAAATCCTTTCGATTTACTTCTTACATAGCAAAACGTTTTTGATTGAACAACTGCATTTCAGAGCAAGTTTCCCCATTAGTCTGGATTCCATGTTTCCAATAAGGGATGCCCTGCGTTGTGATCTTATTTAAGGTACTGCAGTTTTCCCAGAAATTTATCTGTAGTTTTGTAGGCCTATATCACTTAATAAAATGAACACACGCAAAGTGAGCTCAAAATAAAAACATAAAAGAGAGAAAACCATAGCTGGAGCCATTTTTTGAGTGAGAAAATGTTTGTTGACCATCTGCTCGTTACTGTTATGAATAGTCTGTTTGCCAACCTTTGTGAGGGGGGCTGAGGTTGGGAGCTGTGTGGCTACGAAAGTGTTACACTTTACCTTTAACAGAAATCAACACGAGCGGCAGCTAGACTAGTGGCTCTAACGCCCGCCGTGTACAAATCTGGCTAGAGCTAAACGAAGGGCAGAATTCGCTGGTTATGTGTACTGAACACACCTGTAGCGTAAAGGCGCCTTTCCACATGCGCGTCAACACTTGCGTGAAGCGTTGCGTATCAGTCAAAATTCGTCCCAGAGCGATTTTGACTGCCATTGCACACGTGTGTTATGTGAATGGAGTCGATTTTATGTCTGTGAAAGTGAAACGCGAGAACGCATAGCGTGCAACGCATCCCCCAAGACTTGCATGTGGAAAGGCGCCTTGATACCCATCTAACGCGGGGATGGGAAAATTTGTTGCTGTTGTTGTCTTGTGTTGTTGGTTTGTCTTGTGTGATGTTGTGTTCTGTTGTGGTATTGTTTGTGTCGCACATGTTTCTATTATTGGTAAGATCTGCTTATGAACTGAAATGCTTACCTGTTCGATTTCAAAATAATGTCAGACGTCGGCGATACACTTATTCTAATTCCCCGCTCCCCCAGCCAAATTAAAAAGAACACCCCTGGGGGTTTATGGTGGTAATTGGCATAGCCGTGGCTTTGGAAGCCCGTTTTGGACACGGCCATAAAAGTCCCATGGGAGACTATATTCCCTTTAAACTTGAATTACAATTTTTAATTAATGTGCATCAAAGAGAGAGAGAGCTGGGCGTGCTAATCACAATTGCTGTTGAGGGAATTTGAATTCCATAGGCAATGAAACTATGTATGTTTCCTGTCTCGTAATTTCACTCGCCGCCGATCAGTTATGTGGCTTGGTAATTCCTCATTTACTGTGTTCTTTGTGTTGCTTGCCTGTAGGCTGCAGAAGATGCGGCAGCAGGGACGTCATCAATGGAAGCCCGGGCGGGCAGAGCTAGTTACGTCAACCGGGCCCTAGTCCAGGGACCGGACCCTGGGGCAGAGGCAGTGGCCGCTTGGCTACGTGCAGCGTTCGGGGCGTTTTACGGGAAATGAGGCGAAACCAGGATGCTGAAATTGCCGTTATTTAGAAAGTGTACAGCGGAATTAATTTTAATGTCATTAGGCCTACTATCATTAAGGGGGAATGAAAGTTGTAAGAAATTTGACATTCTATTCATCATAGTCTCATGAATTGTGTCTGGGCTGACTCATAGATTGCTTTGATTATTAATGACATTCAGTTCAACCTCGAAGAAAAAAAAAACTTTTTTGTTTACTACATTATACTAATTGCGACAAACAGAACTGTGGCCCCTGGGCTTTCATGTCAAGCATTCGTTTTTTTTTTATGAAGGCAGGTGTAATCGTTATGGCCAAGGAAGAGTCAATTTGTCAAATGACATTCTCATATTCTTTGTGGCCCAAGTAAATTAAAGCTGGGCCCGGTCGAAAGGTGAAATTGCTTCGGCGTATTGCACGGCACGCAACGTGCCAAAGAATCATTAGATAAGATGTCAAACCGGTCAATATCTCAACATGGTGAAGTAAAGTTCCTCTTGCTTCTAGGATATTCCTAAATCATATGCACGAGCTACAAATCATACAGACCACCTGTAGCTCGTAGCTCAGATGTAATTGTAGAGTGACAGATCATAAAAGCCTGTTCATACTTCAAACAAACGCAAAAATAAGCGAATTAGACGTCACAAAACATTTGAAGTAAAGGACGCAAAAAGTGGTCGACGCAAAAAGTGGTCGACTTCAGCAAATTCAGAGCCCAAATATTTGTTGAGATGTTACAACTTCGCGTTCGTGAAGCATGAACATGCCTTAAAGAGACCATAATTATAAACGAAATATTTTACCCAAATCCTTGAAATTACACTTTCGTGTTTCAATAGAACCTTGTTGTCAATTTTTGTTTTGCTATTTTCTTCAGTATATGTGACCTTGTTTATTTTGTGCTAATATGAATTTGGATATTTATGCGCAAAAACCGATGCAATCCGAGGCACTTAACCTCGCTGTTGCATTGATTTGTGCACTAAAATTATATACTTTTTGTACTTTGTTCTTGCAGGTTTCCATTTCTTTTAGCAATTTAATGTATAAGTTTTATTGCAATGAGCCCACGAGCAGCTTTTTCTTGGCAATTTTTTTAAAGAGGAAATTTGGGGTCCAAAATCTGAACATGAAAATATGTAAACTGAACAGTGTCTTCCTTGATTTTACAACAGACAACCAGCGTTCCTACTTGTCTGGAAAAGCTTGATCAGTTTTGAATATTTAAAAAAGTGCACTTACCCAAAAGTTAACTACTGAACGATTTCAAATAGTTCCATCGAAGAAATACAAAAAGGGAATCAAAGAAATCTTCAATGGATTGTTTCTTTAAGGCCACCTTCAGGCCATAAAAACGCAGGATTTACGAGTTGTACGCTGTGATTACGACGTTATAGCTCAGGCGATAAGTAGGGCGTACGAATGCTATAACAGTGAGATAGGTTGAGTTATCATGAGCTGTAACCCGTAGGCTATGCGGAGGACTTAGATGGATCTTTCATGGAGAGAAACGACACGTGCGAAAGACGTTACAAATGCACAGGTGAGTTCAGAAAATATGAATTTGTCAATAGACGGTGGCTTCCTTATTTGTAAGAGTGAAGTGGTTTGTCTGCGCATGCATAGTAGGCCCTATATGTTCATGCCCTCACGTAGTATGTGCGCACGCGTACTGAATCCCACGGTCAGAAGCCAGTAAAATGACTCTTGACTCGGACAGGTGGACCCCAAAAGTAATCGATCAACATGAAGTTCAGATATATTGTTTGCCCCTCATTTCCATACTGATTACAATTTCAACACTCGAAGTCCCTTGCACACAATAAAAATCCATTTTCTGCCAAATCTTTGCTCGTCTTTGTCACGTACCTCCAAAGTAACATAAGTTGGAAGTGAAGGCAACATCTTAGAGTGGATTTTTTTTTTCAGTTTTGCCGAGATTCCCTGACGTTTCTCTACTTGTGCATGGTGAGGAGTATCATGAACGCTCTAATGAGAAAGTGTCATGCAAGAAAGAAGCCGCATGAATGACCCCCCCCAATGCAGAGAGAGCAAAAAGGCCCCTGTAGGCCGAAAATTGAGGGTTATTCAGTCCCTTATACACCAGCAACATGGATTTTTTAAAGGATTTTTTTTCGACCGACCGATCTTATCTTAAGTGGTAAAAGAAATGAGAACCATAGACTTTAATAAGGGTGCCCTAAACGATTTATCAGTCTTCCAGACAGTATCACCGACGACCTGAGGGGAAATTAGATAGAAGTGTGACAATTGGCCACTAAGTAAGGTGAAAAACACGGAAAATGACGAAAATGGGCCCCGATGAAAAACGAAGTGCAGTTCAAAAAAGGTTTTCCTCCTAGAAGTAATAAACTTTGTTGATAATAAGAGTTACTAGTCTTTCATGTGGCATCAAAGTTATTTGAAGGTAAACCAAGCAAAACTGTGAAAATTAGACACAAAATTAGGGGAAAAAACGATATTTGTTTCATAATTATCCTTTGTCGTAAAATTGACATTTTCCACTTCTTTGATTATTTTTAGGAGATTTTTCTTACCAGAAGCTATTAATTAAGTATCACCATTTGACAGACTTTGGGCAATTTATTTACACACGAGGTCTTCAAGAGAAATGGCAGTACACTCCCTCGCATGGGTCAGCGCCGATATGCGTCATCTGCTAGCCCCAGTTTTCAGGCCGACGGCCACAATTATGTTACTTTTGCGCATGCTCGAATACACAAACTAAACGTACGCACAGTCTATGGGGACCGAACATTCGTGGCTGCCACCATGTGTCCCAAAGTCTCCCATTCCTGGCCGTTTGCGTCCAGGGCTTTCCTGTCTACACATCTATTCAGGGAATCGCCCGATCTCCCCAAGTATCAATGTTTGGACAATAACTTGTCTTTAGCTTGGCGTATTCTTTCAATTATCGCGAAAGACATCTTCTTGACTGGCAAGGCAAGACTGATATCAGTGTCGGTGAATCAGAACAAACCTTTTTTGTTGGCACCTTTTGCAGTGAGGCGAGGACACGTGATTCAACAGCACCGCAACCTGAGTCCGTTTCAACCGTGGATATCCCACTTTTGAGCCCGTCATAAGACCACAATGAATGAAGCTCAATACGATATACAGAGAGAATGGCATTTTTTGTACTAATACCATTAGCAGGTACTCGATATTGCGTGATAATGAAGAATTAACAGTTGGTTGAGGATTCAGTGATTTGCTAACACTTTCACTGCAGTGCCATATAAAGTGGAGCCTGGAGGGGCGATGTACAGCCCTTTTCCCACAGAAATTTTGCACTAGCGGATTCAAAGCGCCGACTCTTCAAAAATGGTAGTAGCATTTTCTTGAGGGGGGGGCAGTTGTTTAAGAAAAGTCCTCATTTACCACCAACTCAAAACCTGGATATGCCACTGGTACAGTGACCCACAGGAAAGCTATATGTATGAAGAATGTTTCGCTTGAAAAAACAGTTACATCTTTTGGACATTTCCTGATCCATTTAAGGCATGGACAAGAATGTAGATTATATTCCAATGGCTATTTTCGCCCAGTTTGCAAAACAGAGATTTAAAGAAAGAAGTAAACTCATTCCCGACGCGCACCCTGCATTTTAAAAAGACGAAATAACTGTTTTTATCGCCTTGTTAATCGGGAGTCGGGGGGGGCAGACTGGATGTGCGGGCCGGCTTCCTGCGCGACGCGCAAAGGCACGAACTACACGTACTCTTGTAATAATTCAGAGCATTTGAGTAGGTAGTTGACGCCTTTGCAAGCACTCGTGCAAGTTGACACGGTTGCTTGCCCTCATCATGCATCCATCGCGCACACAATGACAACAGGCAGCATAGAGAGTGTGGTGGTACGCTCCATTGTGAACTGGCTCGGTAGACAGAGGGATGTAACATTTGCCTCCACAATTACACTGTCAAAGGCGCTGTCAAATCAAACGTTCAACAGTGTACATGTACATGGATGACACGTTACGGAATGGACGACAGTGCAGAAAAGGCTGTGTTATATTATTCACGCAGCGTTTGCGGAATTCAGTGGTAGAGAATGCTGACCAGCTGCTTGGATCATGATAACGTTGTCAATCGCTGGCTGGATCTGTTCAAAAGTCAGCCTTGGAGTCACACTGCGGCTCACCTAAGTGTTGCTCAGTAAACTGTCTTGTACAAAATTCTGTGGATGCTGTGGATTGACGTACGTGACGTGATTGTTTCATAGTGTGACTAGTTCATACGTTAAAGACCTTGGACTGGTAACAAGGTTTTTGATCCGGTCTCGTGTCCTACCCTATCAGACCACTGTACCAGTCATTATTGTCCTACGGGTCAGACTGCATGCTGTCCACGGAAAGTGAGTAGAGATATTTTGGTTGGTCACGCTGACTGACCTCCATGTTTTCTGCAGGTAGGCACTCTACCGTGCTGTAGCTACTGACTGTAGATTTTACTCAACCAAGAATAAATACGGTTTTATATCTGGGAATGTTATACGCCACGCCGGTTTAGTCAGCACCAGCAAACCACAGAATTCGACTGGTAGATGAAATACTCGCCGCAAACTTGCACAGGTATGTACATATGTTTTCATGTACACGTAGATTTGAGCAGCGCTACATTATGGACCAGGTTACAACTATCAAAATAATGATTGCTCAAAGCATTGTATGCACAATAGAGGAATGCATGGAAATCACCGATTCAGTGAGCGATAGTTGTGTCACAGTCATGACGCAGACAGCTGATAATGAAACAGCCAAAAAGCGTTGATCGCATTGCAGTACATAGCAGATGTATAGAAACCTAAGAAAATAGAAATGGTACTTTGGCAACGTGGATAAGTTGTCGAGTGTTTCTTCGCCTGTAAATGGTTCCATGAGTCAAAATGGACCAAGGTTCTGGCTGCAGGACAAAGATTTTATGCATATTGTATGCTACTTCCTGTCCATCCATCTGCTTTACGAATGCAGTAAAAAGTACTCGACTGGGATGATTGTACTTTATGGCCCGTACGATAAAATCATTACACTACTGCTAGGCGTAAATTTGAAGCATGACAAATTCTTCCATGATTTAAGTGATGGCTCTCATAAGTCAGTTGACATCTGTGAGATCGATTGACCGTAACAATCGCGTATGATCAAGTAAATGTCTGGAGGTTTACATGGGGAAAGTTCGTCGTCTAACACGGGAGAATGCAATAGTCAACCGTATCATGTGAGCTCATATCCCGGAATGTGAACACAGATCGGAAGCCGTTCTCCATTCTGCTTTGACACTTGTCAGACTTTCCTTATTTCATCCGGTCTGAGAATATACAAGCCAGAATTTGATCTCTTCACCTTCCGTCCGCACTAAGGCCAAAATAATACAGATGGCCGCTGAAAAAAAACAAGAAGTGTGCATGTATGCATACACGTATATCCTGGCTGCGATGACTTGGCATTCACTTCGCGCCGAGCACCGCATGTGTGTGTGTTAATTAATAGACTGCTTATTGATTAGCGGAATATAGCGTGTATATGCTATACACGTATGTATACACATGTACATGTACATGACGTGTGAACTGCTAGAGTGAACCTAACGTCTATTTTGTAAGGCGCGGGTCAGTACAGGTGTAATGCTGAGCAGTAAACGTCTTCATACACGTATATGAGACAATGGTTTCAAGTAAAGACCTGTTTTAGGACATTAAAGAACATGTACTTTTCTTGTTCTTGTCTTGTACGTACACGATATTGTTTTACGCAAACCATGTCTAAATGTGTGAAGTGACTTTCATTGAGTTCGGACATCACAGGCCAAGAAGACTGACACGTATACAAACCCAGATTCGGAAAACCTCGAGAGAGGTAGTGTGTTCGTACACGAAAGCAAAAACCAAGTAAGGTGTGCTATCCCTAGGCCTACATACGAATTAGAAGACATTGTGCCGACTCTCGCACGTCCACACTGTGTCTCTCCTCTCTGATTCTTTT